CCCGTCCCTGGCTGAGGCGATCTGTAAAAGTGTGAATTTTGGAGCATTATGCGAGACTTGTTTTTCGCATTGGTACGGTACAGGGACTGAATTCACCAAGCCCCCCCCCCCCCCCTTATGTATGCTTTGTGGAAATCAATGGATATCCATATGGTTCTAGTAAATAGTTAAAAGTGTCAAGATAAAAAACTATCACCCCTAAACACCAAGAGAAAGTACACTATGAAGAGGAGTCAGGTGTAGAAACACAGAAAAGATCTACGAGTAAAAGTAGACAGACGCGAGTGGCTCATTCAGTCAGCATCTCAGCAACTCTGTCTCCTGAATTCTTGATCACCAATTGCAGATTTAACGCCCTGCCGGATCTGAAGTGCATTTCATAGCTCTTCTTGACAAGCGCTGTAGTTCTGTTCAGCTGAGTACAATCCTAGGTTTCTCGGACAGGGGTCCAAAAGATCACATGCATATGAAGCACACAGTTGCACCACTGATGACAAAGTTTTTTAACGTGAGGCCACACGTAAAACGGTGTAATTTCATAATGATTGTTATAAATGTGGACTCACACACGTGATACATTCAGATGACACGTGATACATTCAAATGACACGTGATTCAGACCTGGGCACGGATGTGTATTGCACGGTTGTGAGCTGTTCCAGCTTCCTACGCAGTCCTCTCCTCCGTAAAAGGGGCCTGTGCACTGCCGGTATCTCCACTGTATACCTCCGCCACAGGATAAATCGCAGGCGTCCCATTCGGACCACTCCTCAAAGACGCCGTCAACTTGATTAAACAGGTTTATACATTAATGGAGAGACCATCTCTGAACGTTTTTCCATTCCATTTCTACATACATTTTGAGATGATGCAGAGAATGTTCATAGTATACCATATTGCGCATAATTTGGAGACATTGTAAGTAACATAATGTTATGTATCTGACGAATTTCAATATGGAGTGAGACATTTTCTGACAACACATACATGTACATAAGTATTTAATAGTTTCATCGTGTCCAACTGCAATGCAGCATCAAATATTAATCCAACTACACTGATATTTTCCCCATTGTTCTATTAAGTCGGTTAAAAAAACTAGAGAGCATATTCAAAACGACGTTCAAGTCTCTAATAAACAAAGTTGACAACACTCCACATCTAAGTTTCTATACAAAATACCGGGACAGTGGTGAGTATTGCAATCTCTGGTGTCCACAAGAGCTCCGATACAGTCTTGACCACCGTGGAAAGGTCCGTCACAAGTCCGCTCTCGGTTCTGCGTTCCCCCTCCGCAAGTGACGTTGCACGTTTCCCATTCAGACCATTGAGTGAAAACTCCGTCGACTAAGAAGTAGGCATTTCAAAGTCTAAATTCTTGCAAAACATTGCATCAAGACTATGTCCAAAATAAAACTTTTTTCCCACTCGGGCGTGTTAACAAAGATTACATAACAAAATATGGTTTCCTACATTTTACTATGGGTAATACTAAGGCTAATACACTACCAGGGTATTACTAAGGGGAAAGCCGTAAATATTATCTCTACTGCATGCCAAAAAAGTACGCGTTTCCATGCCATTAAATAATATCTAATATTTGTTTACACAACCGTTTACATGCCATCAATTACAAAGAACATTGTAAAGCCATAGCTATTAAATATGGTATTATTTCAGATCACTCTAATAAACCAAAATTAAATCTGACTCAAGCTTGCTCAACCAATACTATACTATTTTTCCAGCTACAGCCGTTTGCCCTGCACTAGTAACAATTCACTGTATACTTATTTGTATTTATACACAAGTAAATGCACAAGCAGATACACACACGTATTACAAAACATACCGGGACATGGGTGAACGTTACACTCCTGAGACTGATTCCTCGCTCCAACACAATCCGCCCCGCCGTGTGCCACGCCCCAGCACTCCCTGCTACGCCACTGTATCCCGCCGTTACAGCTGACCGAACACTGCCCCCAGTCTGACCAGAGACTGAATGAGCCATCCACTAAAATTTTAACAGCAAAGGCGATAAGCTATACCATGTGTAAACAGAATGCGCCTGTTGTGGTACTGTTGACACCTGTGTAGCATTAAGCAGCGTTCGCAGCAATAGATGTAATTAAAAGAGTTGTAAAAGATGAGATATAGTTAAGCAAGTTTAAGCTGCACTACTTGATGTCAAAAAAGTCTAGCAAAAAAGTGTTGACTAAAATTGCAGCAGAAAGTGGGGATCATCCAAGGTAGAACAAAGATTCGCGGCTTGGCGAAAAATGAAGCGAGATTCCCAAAAAGTGCCGACAGCCTCTTTTTAGCCTATCTCGGATGGTCCCTATTAGCAAAGCATTAATTGTACCTTAAAAAGTAAGCAAAGTCGAGTTAAATTTGTTCACGTTTCGCCAGTTCCAAATACTTTAATTCAAAGAAACAACGTGTGTGTTCATACTATTTAGCAGTTGGACATACCTGGGCATGCGTGCTCATTGCAAGCGCGTGAGTCATTTTTAGGACCCTGGCAAGCCAGGCCCCCGTAGTAAGGGCCATCGCATACTCTATTTCGCGACTGCATGCCACCTCCACATTCACGAGAGCATGCTTCCCATGCTGTCCATTCTTGCCATACTCCATCCACTGATTTACATAATAAGTAAATAAATAGGTGCCGATACGATAGTTTCCATATAGATACATATTTATTCTTTAACAGGGCCTGTGATATGACTACAGTCACAACAACATGCGTGTTGAAACATGTGGAGTGCATAAAGGGCAAGGTTTCAGGCTATAGATTCGTTTGTATGCCCGAGTGACAGTTGTTACTGAAGACTGGTATGCGAGCGTGAAGGGTAGTAACGCTACGCCCTAATTTGATTGATCTGAGATTGCCCCCAAACGATGCACAAACACGCCTGTGTTATGCCAAACGAAAGTGAAAGACAATCGTTATGCCTTATTCAAAGATTGCACGGATTGCACACGATGCTCAAATACTGTCGATGCAAATGTGAGTGAAAGGTATAAGCGCTATACCTTTATATCTGGTATTGCTGATGATAAATACTCACACGATGCCAGTATAAGTGTTTAAATTAATTCACACAAAAATAACGTGTATAGCGCGATTATCTTTTATTTATCTATTATATACGTTAACAAAATTAACACTGTCTCTTTGAATCACACGTGCGGTGTGTTCACTCTTAGTGCTGTGGTGGCGAACTCCAAACTGGCCCTTAAAAGAGAAACACAGTTAAATTAGAAAAACATTAATGATAAACGTTAACCACTTAAATGAAATTTTTATAAATGTTTACGATCGTTCGATATATTTCACAATAAGCTGTCAGGTCAATTGGCTGAAAACGCTTTTACAACGTACCGGGACAATTATGGGTATTGCATTGCATGAATTCCTCGCTGTCGCCCTCACAACTTTTGCCGCCATGTTGGGCGGCAGCGCAACTCCTGTAGCGCCTTTGAATACCACCGCCACATGTGACATTACATGTGAACCACCTCGTCCACAAACTCCATGCTCCATCCACTGGAAGTAAGGCAGTGGACATTGGTTTACGATTCAGATTTATGATTCAGAATGGTCCGTGACGGTGTTTTCGTATCATTTTGATTTTTTCAAATTTAACACAGAAATACTGCAAGATTGAATGGCTGTATATATTTTGTCCAAGGTCGAAAATGTGTTCAAGTGTAAATGCTCGTATTTAAGATAAAAGGGTAATTGAATAGTTATTTTTCGGATTGCACCCTCTAATGTTCAGACCAAACTTTGCCAGCTAGGCTAGTTAGAATCGTCAGGTATGTCATACATTAACTGTCATACATTTACTAACACATTAGAATGTTTTAAACAGAGCTTAAGTAGAACTAATTAATAAAAACAAATTTCGATTTGTATATACAACTTTTACCTGGACATGGGTTGTCGTTGCAAAAGCCTGTCTGGGTCGACTCTCCTTCGCACATTTGGCCGCCGTAGCGTGGCAGCATGCACATGCGCGAGCGCCGCTGTGTCCCCCCTCCGCAGCTGGCAGTACAAATTGCCCAGGTTGACCAACTTAGCCATTGTCCATCCACTGTAAATGTACACTTAGATGGTCAAGTTGACGTTTTTGTTAGCAGCACAAGTGCCATGAGAAACTTAAGCTTGCCAAATTTTGATTAGTGTTTTTTTTGTCACACTGTAAATGAGAAAACCAAGTATTATGAAAGCTGTTCACTTTTTGAATTTTTCCACAACTATCGAATATCCGAAAAATGATTGGATAAAGTTGCTTATTTTGGACAGAATCAATCACAAGTGCAAAATGCTGAAAATTCAAGTTCTGGCAATATCTTCTTCACACGTGCAGAAACGCTTGGAAAGCGCTGGAATGCGTCCAGCGAGAGAAGGAAAATATCATTGGTACCAGGAAAAGATTCAGAGTTTCAACATTAGTATTTAGATTAATTCGTGAAGAACCGAACTGAATCCTGCCGTAGTGTTAAGAGTTACAGAGAGAAAGCAAGGGTTGCACACCAAGCATGCAACAGGTTAGTACCACTCCATGGAACAAGGAACAACACGGTGACAATCTCCACTCCACGCGTGCTAATAGAGCGAATCCGTCGCAGCGGATCAGTTTACCAGGACAGTTGTGCTCGTTACAAGCTCTGGTTTCATTTGCCGGCCCGTCACAGTCAGCACCGCCGAAAAAGGGACCGATACATTCTCTGGAATGCCACTGTTCCCCTCCCCCACATAGATGTGAGCACTCGCTCCATTCCGTCCAATTGCTCCAAATGCCATCAACTGAAACATGAAAGCGGTGAGATACATACATTTTCTTCATGACTACATGATTTGGTTTTGAAATTTGATTTTAAAAATTTTGAGAAAATTTTTCATTATTTGCATTTGGGAGTAATATATACCATCAAAAGGTACTGCTAATTTCTTAATGACAAGAGTAAATTCGAGAACCAAAATGTTACGTCAAAATATTCGCCTTGTTTTCTTTTTTACACCATCAAAAAAAAATATTTCCAAATAAAAATTTATGACAGTAAACAACCTTCAGTCTTTTAAAGCCTTTGCTGAAGAACTTACCGGGGCATTCATGAGTGTTGCACTGCCTGACATCAGTTGTATTCCCAGTGCAATTCTGACCTCCATATAACACCTCGGAGCACGTGCGCGTCCTGTCCTGCTCCCCTCCTCCACAAGAGACAGAGCACTGACCCCACTCTGACCACTCGTTCCATTGACCGTCGACTGGAGTAGAACGATTATGTATTTAATTACACCTAGATAGAATTGTGCACACCTAATTTTTATTGCGCAAAGTTTTTGACGGTTCTGAATCTTTCAGAAGGTTTCTAAATATCAATTTATTATAGTTTCAAACACGTACAACTTGTTAGGTCATCTGTAATTGACTTTATAAAACATCAAGGAAAACAAGGTAAAACATATTAGCTTGCCTGTGTGTAACCAAATTACTATGATAAGCCTATGCCAGTGGTTGTTATGAGTGTTTTTAGAAGCACATGGTAAAATGTTAGCAAGAAAAAATTACTAAGGCGCGAAAATCAACATTAAAAAATGAAACTTACTGGGACACGGATGAGTGTTGCATTCCTGTTGCTCACGCGCTGCGCCCGAGCAGTTTGCCCCACCGTAGTACGGCCCGTCACAGTCACGTGAACGATTCTGTATACCTCCGCCACACGTCACTGTGCAAACCGTCCATTCTGTCCAATTTCCCCAAACACCATCAACTAGAGAACCGAGAGGGAGAATTTGCTGTACACGACAAAGAAAGCCTTGCCCCTCTTGCAGGAGGGTAGGAATGAAGCTGCTACAACACCGTAAATAGCAAAAGTAAAATGGATACTACTGCTACCATAAGCATTAAGTTACTACTTAAATGAAAATGGAAGTGATGCCAAGAGGATTTAAACGCAAAATAGGGGAGTTCCCAGAGTAGGGTGCATTTATATATATATGTATCTAGATGTACCACTAAATATATCAGTACATGCAAAGAATGAAGTGTAGCACGCAGAAAAGCAAATAACGTGTCTTTCCGCTTAGACTGATCCAACTCTGCGAAGCTTCTCCAAAGATTGGACCATCAAACCCAAGAAAAGTGCACCTTGTTTTGGTACATTGAGTTGGTGGACTGTGAATTACGATTAGCTAGTTTTAACCTACTTGGACACTTATGTGTGTTGCAAGTCTCAGATTCGCTCCATGCTCCCTCGCAATTTTTTCCGCCGTGATATGGGCCGTCACACGTTCTGTCCTTCCACCTGGTCCCGCCCCCGCACTGGACTGTGCAGTTCGACCACTCGCTCCAGCTGGTGAATACGCCGTCAACTGAAATACCAACACTTAATTTCAGTCATATCTGATGTATTAGAGAACCATTTACTGAAATAAGAAATAATAGAGCCAGACTATTATTTTAATATCGCCATTAAGCGTGCGGAAGAAGGAGGGGCGAATAGACGCAGACTGGTAACACTTGACAAAGAAGCAAGGAGGTACATATACAAGTAGGAATGAACAACAGAAAAACTACAGCTGGCAAGGTACGGGGATGGATGTATTAAGCTCAGAGGAGAGCACAAGATGCATGGTTACTTCAAATAATCAATTAAGTTAACAACGAATAACAGTAACAACAACCCGGCTGGTACCAGTACAAAATTGCCTTTATTTATAGGACAATAGAAAATGTGATATGATGATTTATGTTACCAAAATTTAAGTAAATATTTTAGTTTAAACCAATATGCACGTGATGACAGTTACCTACCAGTGGTTAAACGAAGACGGGTGCAAATGACAAGATACTAGTAAATGCCATTTTAACAATGTTTACCCTTATATTACACAAATTCAAATAAATCATCAATAACAAGAAAATAAATATCTGTAAATATCTGTAAACCATTACCTGGGCAGTGGTGAGTGTTACAGGCCTGAGATTCGTTCCAGTTTCCCTGGCATTCCTTTCCACCGAAAAACGGCCCAATACAGCCCCTGTAGCGCCACTGTGTGCCGTTCCCACAGCTGGTACTACAGGTGTCCCAGGCCGTCCAGTTACCCCATACTCCGTCCACTAAAGACATAACAATAAGATTATGCATATATGGTATCGAAATCTCATCAGAAAAATACTAATTTCTTGAATTCATAAGACTGGCTTTTTAGTATTGTTCTATATGCTCGTCTTTTCTCATAATTTAATCATTAATTTTTCGGGCTGATGTTTGTATCTTGCATACTGTCAATATAAAACGTTTCATGACAGTTCTGTTACATTTAATCTATAGTGAGCATACAAATATTTGTGGTGAAGTGACTAGCAGATGTGAATTTATCTGCTATTATGGTTTCTAATTAAGTAAGGGGGCACATTTATTAGGATTCTATAACTAATATTTATATTCTGGTAGCCTATCATGCCATCTGACAGACCGCTATTGTGTTTAGCGGTACCTACGTTTCTTTGTTGACTAAACATAACATATAGACATTGGCCAAGGCAATTATTTCAAAATACCATTGCCACGATTTTAAAGTTGATTTCCCACTGTAACATGGGGCAAGTATCATATTAATTTAAATGGCAAAAGAATATATGTATAATCCACACCACGATAAATGTTAAAAATGCCTTAACTGACATTGCTTCTTTCAGACTTTCTTTTTGCCTTGATTCATTTAACATTTATTAATTTGACAAGTTTTCTTTCCGTGAGGAGACCCAATATATGTACCTGCACATTCGTGAGTGTTGCAATTTCTAACTTCCTCCGTAGGTCCGTGACAGTCTTCACCTAGGAAATACGGACCGTCGCACTCTCGGGTCCTATTTTGTGTTCCTCCGCCACACGACACATCGCAATTAGTCCAGTTACTCCAAGCTTTCCAGATCCCATCAACTACATGGAAATAAGTGGGCAGTGAACCCATTTATGTGATTTATAAAACGCGATGCCATCATGTTCAAAACTCGTTCACTGTCACTCGCCGGCGTTATCGCTTGACTAACTTGCCTTGCCCATGCATTCAAGCTTGTGCTCTACCAAAAATAAACTAGAAAATGCTGTCTAATGAGCTATGACATCAAGGTTATTCTATATATACTCTACATACACACCAATATATTACAATACAATGTGCGCAGCTAAGCAATAGTGGATACCACGCAATACCTGGACACTCGTGCACGTTGCATGCCTCTACTTGACTGGCATCTCCAGTACAATTTCGACCACCGTAATAAGGTCCGGCACATGTCCGGAACCTTGACCGTTGCCCAGTTCCGCATGATCCACTGCAGTTGGTCCATGCTGACCACGCTCGCCATTTCCCATCGACTGAAGATGAAAAATATGAAAAATATATAAAGTGGATGACACTTCTGTAAAACCACTTATGTTCATCGAATGTATAACAATACTGGTATTAATCTAGCAATAATCAGTCAGGTTGCACTTAGTATTTATACATGTAATTACTCAAGTGTAGGTCTTGGTTTAATTGCTTTCAAAATAAGTTGTTTTGCATACATCTGTTTTGAAAAGGGTTCACATGCAAACCACAAAGAAACCACACTGTTTTCCTTTCACAGTAACTTACTTGGACAATGGTGCGGGTTGCAGTCCTGGTACTCGATGTTGCTCCCGGTGCAGTTGCTGCCGCCATGGAGACCCGCTATGCAGTCCCGGACACGTGACTGCTGTCCACCACCACAACTGACATTACAGGTTGACCACTCAGACCACACGCCCCAGTAGCCATGAACTTGTGAGAGAAAATTACGCAAGAGAATTAGGAGAACAAAAAAGTGCGAGCATGCGGTGGAAGCCAAGCGGAACTTGCTGCCATATTGGATCTGCCAACGCCCATATTGGACGACCCAATCTGAGACATTCTCTGAAAAAAAAATCTGGAAATTTCTTGCCGTTTGATTTTCACCTGTAGCAAAAAGAGAGCGCACTGTTTCACAAAAGAATTAACATAAACATCTACTTCACTGTACAATCTATGCGACATAAATTAACAACGTCCATCTAAGCAACACTGAAGCACTAAAGACTAAACGTAAGGGACGAAAACATATAATAAGATACTAGCAGGACACTACAGTTCTGATGGCACAATCTTGTATTATAACCACGCAAAAATTTCCAAATCGCGCGTGTCAAACAAACTCTATAGACATCTCCTGCCCTAAACATTTCTTTTCCCAGATGTGTCTTACTTGGACACGGATGGGTGTGACAATCTTGATACTCGACAGCGGGCCCTGAACAGTTAGCCCCGCCATAAAACGGACCGTCACACGAACGCTGCCGAGACTGAATTCCACCGCCACAGCTAACGTTGCAGCTGTTCCATTCGGTCCAAGCTTCCCAGATTCCGTCAACTGTTAAAAAAGAAAATAATCGTGAAAAATTACAAGGAATTGAAAAAAATAAGGGATTTTAAGGGATTTTAACTTTTTACAGTTTAGCTCCGACCCCTTCACCAAAAGCTAAAATGGGTTTTCATAAATAATAAATTAACATATACACGTTGCTTTAAAACCAACACCGATATCAGATTATATGCAAGCAGCAGCGTGAGCACATAAAAAATACAAAAATGATTTTACCTCAGAGAAAGCGTTTTAAATGAAACTTCAAAAACGAAAGAAAAGCTCAAATCTTAAAAGCGGCCGGATGATAACATATCAAATGAATTGTTTCTCAGTTTCCAAAAACAAAAATTCAGTTTCGCATTTTCATAGGGACAATGGCCAAAAGTAAAATGTTTTTTTAAATACATATCACCATCTTCGACTCCACACATCACCGTTACCTGGACAATAGAAGTCATTGCATATCTTGGAATCGATATCTGGTCCCGAGCAATTCAGACCGCCATAAAACGGCCCGGTACAAGTTCTGTAGCGGTGTTGCATACCACCCCCGCAGGTGACATTGCAGGTGTCCCAGGAGGTCCAGTTGGTCCAGACACCGTCAACTGAAAATGAGCAAAGTGACTTATGCACCAAGCCTTCAATAAAGTCCACTTTTACATATGTCGCCTTTACTGCACCATAAAGCGTAGCAGTCTTATAAATAGGGACACTAAAAATGCTTCATTGAGTAATCTTAAAGGCCACATAAAGGTAAGAGCATGAGAAGAGATAATCATTATTCAAGAATTCACAATGACGTTTAGCAGCAAACTGTAAGCTGAACACAGCGGCTTTAAGTTTTGGCAAAAACGTAAGAGCAAAAGATATTCCACATGAAAGGCTAATTTTGAAAGTGAATTGATTGAGTTGGTGACAAAGCTGAGAACATACATCAAGAATGGCATCAAAAGTGATCTGAGTTAATAAGAAAGCTGCGAGTACGACATTTATACAGTAATGCGTAATAAATGGACACACCTTATCACTGGAACATGAATGCACTTTAACGCAATTTGGTTCGCTGGGAAGTTAAAATAACGTTAATCAAACATTTACATAGGAACCACGCGCAGCGGCAAAGTTCATTTGTACATAAATCACATCGGTGAGGATATATAGATGATTCAAAAGAACACAAGACCAACTTAGCACTACCCTAGCAATACCTGGACAGTGATGAGTATTGCATGGCTGAAAATCCTCTGTTGGACCAGAGCAGTTGGCACCACCGAAGAACGGTCCGTCGCAGACCCTCCACCTGCTTTGAATTCCACCGCCACAGGTCGTATTGCACGTACCCCATGCGGACCACGTGACCCAAACGCCGTCAACTTAAACATACCATACAAAGCGCATAAGAAATGAATGAAAATGAAAGCTTAAGCTAGAGTAACAAGACTGGAGGACTTCGTCCACACGAGATGGTCAATTATGTCCCTTGGTCTCCAAGGTGTCTGTGTGTCAATTACGCTATCTTGAAAACAGGTCATACATCTTTAGGTGTCAGGGTCACTAAAGTTAAATCTATTTCCAAATACACATTTTCAATGTCTTATATACATGTACTGCTTAAATAAGATAAACCTTCAATCTGGTACCGCCCTAAGCGTTTCGAACCTCGATCGATTTCATTAATATTTCATCATTACGATTTCTAGGAATTCCATTCAACTTACTTGGACAATTATGTGTATTGCAGGCTCTTGACTCAGTGAAGGGACCGGAGCAATTTTGCCCGTGATAGAATGGGCCATCGCATTCACGAGAACGGCCCTGGGTGCCGCCGCCACACGAGAGAGAACACGTCTCCCACTCTGACCAGGCCTTCCAGACACCGTCCACTGGAAATTGTAATTTAAGAATATGGACCAGTTACTTAATGGTAAGGGCCGTAATAAAAAACGATCCAAGAGTGTCCCACATGTCACTTCATCCCTTAACTTCACAGTGGTGGACTTACAGGGGTGGGGAACATACGGTAATATCCAAAACAAGTGGGGGATACTGTTCAAGGTTCTGTCCTTGAAGGCCAAGTAAGGTTATGACCAAGGCCACTCGGAAATTAGTCCACCACTGTTTTGAGATGCAAGATGTTATGTTTTGATAACCAGTTCGCAACAATGAAAAGCATAGATAGTCTTAGTTTAGAAATTAACAGAAAAAGCTTAGCAATGCTAAATTACATCTATAATTCGAAACACAGAAACAGTGAAAACGCGCCGGCGACGCACAAATCAGT